TAATAATAATAATAATAATAATAATAATAATAATAATAATAATAATATAATATTAGACTGCATTTAAAAATGTAAAAATGCCAGAAAGCTGTATGTGCTATGGATGTTAGCAACAGAAGAAAAGAGAAAATGCATCTCAATTTACAAGTAAGCACATTTGATCTTACCTCAATGGAATTAGATCTGACCAGAACTGAAGCTAATAATATAACCATTTAAAAGTAGCCTATAAAGCTGATGTAAAGGCTGTTGATCATTAAAATGGCTCATACTGTAGATAGTTTCTGTGGGCTGAATCATGCTATAGATATAGTTAGTACAAGCTGTTGCCTCTCTTTAGAATTCTGAAAATGTACTTTTTAAGCTTAGATTAGACACTGATCACTGCAATTAGCTGCAGCTAGCAGAGCCTACATATAATTTACATGTCAAAAAAGTTAGGTGCAAATTCATCAACTAGTTGACGTCGTAATTATTCATCCAGCTAAAAACTATTGAAATCATAGGAAGTTGGTCATTAATTATTGAATGACTTCAGGTCTAGTTTAGATCATCATTAGTTAGACCCACTATATTTTCCTTCTGTAACATTGACCTGTTTTATATGATTGTTCTGTAAATTATTAATTATATAAAGTTATTGTAAATATATTAAAAATAATTTGTACCACAGATCCAGTTGGTTTCGCTGTTAATTAAACAGTTGTTTTGTCGGCTGTGAGCAGTTGCCCATTTTGGGTGCCATATTAGTTTCTCCACGATGTCACAAATGTAAACAATGGGCGAGATGTGCAGTGCACCCTCCAGTAGTATTTAACTGTATAGCATGGATCCACACTTAGTCTGAACAGTCTTTATATTCACCTATGCTGTGCTCTGCTGTCATTCTGACATCCAGCAACAAGGCACAGCTATTACAATGTAAAATACCTATAAAACTCATTTATCAATGCATTTGTTTATAAAAGTCAATATAAACCAGGTGTAAAGGACCAATACAGCTGAACACAGACTTTGAATA